TAATGAACAAGAAGACAAAGATTTTTAGAGGTATGTATTCACCTTTAATTCCAGGGGTTCCATAAGGAAAACAGATTTTTCCTAAAACAGGATCTGTGGCACCTTTTCTGACTTCCCAGGCCACCAGATGTCATTTTTAGGGTCTTTTATACATGCACCAAGAGTGGCAAGACAGAGTGGAGAAAAGTAATTCTTCCCAGTTAACTGGGAAGAAACCTTTTCCAGGACACCAGGACAACAAGATTTATGAAAATAAGCCTTTTGAATATACACACAGCTTGCAGGAGGGAGAGACCCGGGGAGGGTTTTCATTAAGAATGATTTTATGAGAGGTGCAAGCTTGACACAGGGAGGGCTGGGATTTAAGGTGATGCAGGAATGGCGAGAAACCTATCAAACACTAAAGTGAGGAAGGAAGTGGCTTATTTGGCTGGGAGCTTCGGGGAGGCTACAGCCTCATTTACCGAGCTCCCCGAGAAGCAGCTTCTCTCCCCTTTTATAGGCTTACAATGCTAAAGGGGAAACGAAGTGAAACTATGTCATTGTCCATTTGTTGGCTGTCCGAGCTTACAATCTTTTGGCTTTACTGATTTGCTACTTCATATGCAGCGTGAATGGGGACCAGCAGGGGAGGAGGCTTACAGAGACAAGACAAAGGCAGTAAACTATTAGTTGGCAGAGGTGTTTCCAGGAGGGAGCCTGGGCTGTGCAGACATGGAGGCGTGACCCAGTGCTGGGCTCCAGCCGGTAGGGATAACATTCATTTGCGACTCTTTCAAGGCTTACAGATAGCAGAGATGCTGGGAACCGAAAAGGGAGTCATCTTCCCAAATCTTTGGTATTTTTTTTTTCTTTTTCACCCTCCTTCCCATCCAGAGGGGAGGGGAGGGGGGAGGTGGAGACCGGGAAACAGAAGGAGGTGAGGGGGTCTCCCCTCTAAGCCTGAATATAGAGAACCTCTTGCCATTTGCTGTTCCTGGTTATAAAGTTGTTAAGGTTCCTGAGAATATGCAATTTAAAGGTGCCATTTTCGGGCCATCAGCTGTCATTATCTAATGTGTATTGGGGCCCTGGCCATGTTACAATAAAAGACTAAATGCTTAAGCCAGGTTTTGCAAGGTTGTGAAGAAGAGAGCAAAGTAAACAGGGCATAGGAATGTGGGATTGTCTGGCACCCATGTGGACTGGTGAGAAGAATCCGAGGGTGTCTGTTTTAGTTCTAGGCATCCCCAGACAAGAGACCAGAGAGGTGGAGTCCTTTCTAAATAGGACAGTCAAGCTGAGAAGAAACTGGGTGTCCCCAAGATTTCCTTTAGCTTAGTCCCAGTGGTCCTCTGAGGACCAAGACTGCAGACCTGACTTTTCCTGGGTACCGTGAGAAAGCCAGGGGAGGACAGATCTTACTAGTCAGCTGGATTAGTGTCTGACATTGGATGTTCTGGTTGGAATCGGCAAAGGGCCTCTTGGACTGCAGCCGCACAAGGGAAAGAGAGAGAGAGAGAAATGGGAGGATAAGGGCAAAATGAACTGAGAGAAAAGACAGGGCAAGTGGCCAGAGACACTCAGGATCCAGGAATTAACTCACGATGAGCTGCCAATTGCCCACTGCTTCCTAGGTTGCAAAAGAGCCTGTGCCCCCAGCACCTGTCCTGAGTTTTGGCATGAAACGTAAGAGTTAGAGGAAAGAAACATGAAACACACCTTGACAATCAAAGACAGGTTTATTTTAGAAAAAAACCTGAGAGGGGCTTCTGGTTGATTTTGGTCAGGAGCACTTTCTCTTGCAGACTAACAGTATATATTGGTTTTTAGAGAGAGAGGGATTACACGCTTGGAATGTTTTGGTGTGGGGGAGAAGTTTATGCTGGGGTTGGAATGTCTCAGGGCTAACATCTTCCTGGGCGGACGGGGGTTATCTTGGGGCTAGCATGTCTCTGGTGGGGGAGGAGCCTGGAATGTTTCTGGTTGGAGATATTATTTGTGGTTTATGATCATGCTGACCTTAGCCATTAGGCTGATGCCCTTTGGATTTAGGTGGTTTTTGATTAAGGTGAATTTTAAAATGGGTGCTTGTACACTATAGCAGTGCTCCTGCTCTGTCACCCAGCTTCTAGTCAGGTTTTTTCCTAGGAGGGGCAAGACTTCAGCTTTTCTGATCTTACCTCCATATACCCATCACTGAAGCTACATCCTGTGTGGGTACGTTAGAAAAGTGGGGACATGGTTTCTGCACTCAGCTCCTACTGACTGGAGGTTCTACTGTGAGCATAGTGTGCTCAGACTACTAGGACACTGATCAACTTTATCTCAGCTCGTGAGGTGGTGGATCCATGCCAGGAGACAGGCCAAGAAGACATCAGGCTCTTGTCCCTCCCTGCCTCTGAACACTCGGTTCCCAAAAAGATTACTCAGAAAGCAGCTTGCCAATGTTTCTACCCAAGCTTCAGAGCCCTGTCAGATTTTTGCCTTGAGGTAGAAGAGAAGCAAGCTGTTGAACACATAGCTCCTAACCTCTTGCCAAATAGCACCCCATTCTCAATGCAGTGGAAATGGAGGTGGAGATTCATGGATTTAATGAAAATATAGCCTGAACTCTGGGCCAGCTAATTTGTGGAGAAAACTAGGGAAAAACACTGTTAGGTGTTTGTTTAGACTCTTAAGGGACTTCTCCTATTAAACACTGATCTCAGATAGTACTCTTAGAAAGAAGAGAACATATTTGGATTAACTTATAGGGCAAATTTGACCCTGGACTTTTTTAAGAACAATAGTCATCAACCAGCAATTAGTACAGTTTAACATCTGAGTGCTGTCCAAGAGAGGAACAGGATGACTGCATGCAGAAACAAAGCTGAGCCACTTCTCCCCAAGAGCAATATAAGAGGCTTAAAGTTATGAGGAAGAAATTGACAGAGCTGGAGCATCTCTATCGTGGACGCTATAGTGGACAAACATCTCATTTAAAAATTCACCTTAATCAAACACCGCCTAAATCCAAACAGCATCAGCCTAATGGCTAAGGTCAGCATGACCATAAACCAAAAATAACATCTCTGACCAAAAACATTCCAGACTCCTCCCCAATCAGAGACATGCTAGTGCCAAGATAACTCTGCTCTGGGTGAGAAGATGCCAGCCCCAAGATAACCCTCACTCCTCCCAGAGACATTCCAACTCTGCCGTAAACTTTTCCCCACATGTAAACATTCCAAGCTTGTAATAAGCCCCCCCACCCTAAAACCAATATATATTCTTAGTCTATAAGAAAAATCACTGCTGGCCAAAATTGGCCAGAAGCCCCTCTCAGGTTATTTCTAAAATAAACCTCTCTTTAATGCTATGTTTCTTTCCTCTTACAGAAATAGACTTCACCAAAATAGTCCAATCAGTCACTAAAAAAATAAAGCAAATAACAATAACAAGGCCTTGCAGAAACTGAACATGCTCTGAGAGGATTCAGTATGTTATCAAAAATGTCCAATTAGCAACAAGTACAGCCCATACATCAAGAAAAAGAAAAGCTAAGGCCGGGCGCGGTGGCTCAAGCCTCTAATCCCAGCACTTTGGGAGGCCGAGGCGGGTGGATCACGAGGTCAAGAGATCGAGACCATCCTGGTCAACATGGTGAAACCCCGTCTCTACTAAAAATACAAAAAATTAGCTGGGCATGGTGGCACGTGCCTGTAATCCCACCTACTCAGGAGGCTGAGGCAGGAGAATTGCCTGAACCCGGGAGGCGGAGGTTGCGGTGAGCCGAAATCGCGCCATTGCACTCCAGCCTGGGTAACAAGAGCGAAACTCCGTCTCAAAAAAAAAAAAAAAAAAAAGCTGACAGTAGAAACTGCCTGTGAGAAAAGATGCCAGATTTAATAGAAAAATACTTCAATGTGTACATTATAAATGTGTTCACAGAACCAAATGAGAGCATGACTCAAAGGCATTCAGATTTGGCATCTAGCTGAAGGTTTCTCCACACCAAATACCTTACTTTCTTTTTTTTTTTTTTTTTTTTTTTTTGAGGGGGAGTTTTCCCTCTTTTTACCCAGGCTGGAGTGCAATGGCGCGATCTCGGCTCACCGCAACCTCCGCCTCCTGGGTTCAGGCAATTCTCCTGCCTCAGCCTCCTGAGTAGCTGGGATTATAGGCACGCGCCACCATGCCCAGCTAATTTTTTGTAGTTTTAGTAGAGACGGGGTTTCACCGTGTTGACCAGGATGGTCTCGATCTCTTAACCTCGTGATCCACCCGCCTCGGCCTCCCTAAGTGCTGGGATTACAGGCGTGAGCCACCGCGCCCGGCCTATACCTTACTTTCACAATCTTTCTACAATGACTTCTGTAAAAAATGACAAACCCATTATTAGTGGTTCATTAATTAAACACTTATATTCATTAATAGGTTTTGAACGTACATTGCTACCAGTATCATGGAAAGTGCAGGCTTTCTGCCATGTATGAATTGTTTGAAAGTAAATGCATTGATTACTCTGCAACAGGGCTCCCCCATAGCTATTTAAAAAATAGTAACATCCATATAAAAAGTTTCTTAGTTCTGTTTCCAAATTATTTTACAAACATTTCAACATCTATGTTACATTAGGTATATATTTTTGTTGAAAATTTTGTTTGAAAAATTGATAACATGCTAACATTCCCCTCAAGGGACATTTTTTTCCTCTTGTGAGTGCAAATCACCTTAGATTTCTCCTGGGGTTTTAGTATTGATCTTTAATGTTCTGGTTCTCCCATTTGTTTCCTAAAATGTAGACCCAGAAAAATCATTATCATTTAGAAAGTATGGAAAACTTACTGGATTGTAGGTTCATTGTACACTGTAGCCACGCCTGATCAATTCATGAAAATATTCCTTTTCTATATTCCAAATTTTGAAACAGCATTGATGGCCAAGAAACACTTGTTCTCTAATTGACTAAAAGAAAAACATATCCTCACCTATAGAATTCAAGTGCTGATGGCATCCCATATCACATCTCTATACAGATTCTTCAGGGAAAAATCCAGCAAAGCCCACTCCTCCTGGATGAAGTTCCAGCCACATCTTCAAAGACCACCAAGCCGTGACACATCCCAGATATGTGCAGAGGACAGGTGAGACTGACCTCACTGGGCATCTAGACTCAATTCATGAGACTTCACATTGAAGCAATGTCGTCATCTGGGGTAAATACCTGTGAAAGTCGTTGTCTTGTGGCCACGGAAAACTAGGACCTGGAGACACAAAGAGTGAGGTTCTAAGCAGAAGTTTAATAGGTTAAAGAAAGAGATGAGCTCTCTGCTGCAGAGAGAGGCATCCCGGAGAAGTGGGTTGCTGCTTCTCCAGTGAAATACAGAGTTTTATACATGAACTTGAGGAGGCAATGTCTGATTTACATAGGGCACAAAAGATTGGTCAGACCAGGTATACCATTTGCATAACATGTGAGAATCTGGCCACCCCCACCATAATCTTTTATTATGCAGATGGGTTATCCACCTGGCTGGTGCCATGTTGCCTATTCCTTTAGTGTACACATGGTGACAAACAAAAGGGATGATGAAGCTTCCAGGTTGAACAGGTATGACCCCGAGGTAGCCCTTTTCTGTTGGCACAGCTTTTGGCATTCACCCGTGCAAGCTCCCAGCTTGCTTATCTATGTTTGCGGCCTGATTTTTCAGGCTGCTCTCTGTTAGAAAAGAAATGATTTGGGGGCTGCTTTTTGTTAAAAGGAAAGCCTTGCCAAGGACTCCTTTACCCTCACTATCTGCCTAAATAATTTCTTTCTAGCTCTTGTATCAACATGATTTTGTAGTCTCCAAACATTTATTCTACAACTTGGTCGAACTTTCACTCTCTTGTCTATACTAACTTCCACACATAATTCTATGCTGCTAGGTCGCCCCCAAATTTTTCTTTGTAGAGTCAAACTCTAGTACCTGTCATAAGAAAGTCCTACCTGGTGTGCAGAAGAGAGTTAATATTAGTGGTCCTCAGACTGCTTATCCTTTGAAATGGCTGATCACAAAGTTTGACATTTACTAACCTATTAGGAATAATGAAATCAGTCAACTGTCAAAGTCTTCTAACCAACACAGTGATGGCTTGTCTAATGTACATAAAGATTTTCGAAGTGTAATATTCCAGACAGCACAGTGTTAGCAGAGATCAAAGGAAAGGAGAATGTCTTCGATGGGCCAGCAATTTTGCATTATGCAAAATTGATTAATTTCAGGGGAGGTACTGTACAATGAGTGGCAGAATCAAGAGCACCTTATTACATAGGACAGGGACAAACATGTAATTAGGAAAATTCATCACCTCTACTTGATGGGCAAATCAATTTATTATAGACTTAATATAAAACATAAAACCAGAACACTTTTTTTTTGAGACACAGTCTTGCTCTTTTGCCAGGCTGGAGTGCAATGGCACCATCTAGGCTCACTGCAACCTCCGTCTCCCGGGTTCCGAACGATTCTCCTGCCCCAGCCTCCCGAGAGCTGGGACTACAGGCACCCACGCCCAGCTAATTTTTGTGTTTTTTAGTAGAGATTTTTAGTATTTTAGTAGAAAAAATAATTTTGTATTTTTTCGCCAAGTTGACCATGATGGTCTTGAAATCCTGACCTCGTGATCCACCCATCTCAGCCTCCCGAAGTGCTGGGATTTACTGAGTGCTGGGAGGCTGAGTAAATGCCCAAAATTAGCCAGGTGTGGTGGCACATGCCTGTAATCCCAGCTACTCAGGAGGCTGAGAATTGCTTTAATCCAAGAGGCAGAAGTTGCAGTGAGCCAAGATCACGCCACTGCACTCCAGCCTCAGCCTGGGACATAGAATGAGACTCTGTCTCAAAATAAATAAAAGAATGAATAATAAAAAATAAAAGAGTAAGCAATGAAAAGAACATAGTGATAAATTTAAATATACTAAAATTAGGAAGGTAAATGACAAAGAACAAAGTAGGAGAAAAATACCTGCAGTACATGCAATATAAAAGGATTAATTTGTAGAGTAAAAACAAACACGATTAAAACATAGGAAAATAAACATTAACTGAAAATGAAAGACCATGTATGAAAAAAGGTCCATTTCCTTGGCAATGAGGAAATAGCCAAATAAAATGTCAACTACATGACATTTCTCATTGATTAAAAGTATGAAAATTAGTCAATTTGAGAATCCTAAGTGGTGATGACCATAGAAAATAAATAAATATGCATGAAGGAAGAAGGGGTGTTAATAGATACACTGCAGTGCTGTTTCATGTAATTTGAACTTTACCATAATCTGCAGCCCAGTAATTTTTCTCTAATGTCCAGGTAGTTTACTGTGCATTTGTGCTTAAAGACTATTGGAACAGGCCAAGTGAGGTGGCTCACATCTGTAATCCCAGCACTTTGGGAGGCCGAGGCAGGCGGATCACGAGTTTGAAACCAGCCTGACCAACATGGTGAAACCCCGTCTCTACTAAAAATACAAAAATTGGCTAGGTGTGGTGGCATGCGCCTGTAATCCCAGCTACTCAGGAGACTGAGGCAGGAGAATCTCTTGAACCTGGGAGGTGGAGGTTGCAGTGAGCTGAGATCACACCACTGTACTCCAGCCTGGGTGACAGAGCAAAACTCCATCTTGAGAAAAAAAAAAAAAAAACATTGGAGCAGTATTTTTCCTAAGAGCAAAAAATAACCTGAAGACGCCCAAGCACCGTTAAGTATTGGAATGGATGAGTGAAGTGGATGGCACATAGCCTTAGACACTAGCAGGTATGTGCTGAGGCAAGGAAACCAGCAATAAGCCTTTTCATTTTAATGAAATAAGGCCCATCTCTCTGGCTATCGATTTATTATTTTATTTATTATTCATTTATTTGGAGATGAGGTCTGGTTGTGTTTCTCAGGCTGGTCTGAAACTCCTGGCCTCAAGTGATCCTCCTGTTCCTTTCCAAAGCCCCCTGCCATTATTTTGGAAGATGCCCAGAGAATGACATTCTTAACAAGTCCTGCCTTCAAAATAAACTTTTTTTCAAAACCCTAATTGAGATTTTACCAGAGCCACACCTCTTCGGGTAGAGAAAATAACTAATTCCATCCCCCTGTTTTTGCCTCAACTAAGCAGAGGTGAGGGAGAAATACAAAAGTCACAACACAGGGACACAGGCTTCCTACAAACGGAGCCAAATCATAGGTCCATGAAATGTGTCCCATAGTCTCACACCTGACCACCACATCAACAGCAGCAGAATATATAACATCATAACGGCAAAACACAATGCCTCAGACCTTTTACTTAAAGATGTCTAAGGGTACGGAAGTAAGTTGGGATAACACTGATGAAGTGGACAGATGTCTGCAAACATAAGACGTACGGACCGAGTCATGACAAAACAAAATCCGAACAGATCTTCAGTTCTAGGAAACTAATGTAAGAAACAAAACAAAAACAATAAAAACCAAAGGCCAGAGTTTTACTGCTAAAATCAACTAAACATTTAAAATATTAATATCAATCTTCCCAAAACTGCCGGGCGCGGTGGCTCAAGCCTGTAATCCCAGCACTTTGGGAGGCCGAGGCGGGTGGATCACCAGGTCAAGAGATCGAGACCATCCTGGTCAACATGCTGAAACCCCGTCTCTACTAAAAATACAAAAAAATTAGCTGGGCATGGTGGTGCGTGCCTATAATCCCAGCTACTCAGGAGGCTGAGGCAGGAGAATTGCCTGAACCCAGGAGGTGGAGGTAGCGGTGAGCCGAGATCGCGCCATTGCACTCCAGCCTGGGTAACAAGAGCGAGACTCCGTCTCAAAAATCTTCCCAAAACTTTGAAAAAAACAAAACATTTCCAAACTCATTTTAAGAGACCCAGATTACACAGACACTGAAGAAAAGACACAACAAGAATGAAAGCTGCAGACAAGTGTCCTTTGTGAATATGCACACAAAAATCCTCTAATACCAGCAAACCATATTCAGCAGCATATTAAAAGATTACACACCATGACCAAGTGAGATTTATCCCTAAAATGCAAAGATGGTTCAACATGTAAAAATGCATAATAATACACTGCAACAACCTCAATGTAGATGTAGAAAAAGCATTTGACAAAATACAAAACCAATTCATGATAAAAACACAGAACGTGGGCTAGAAAGTAACTACTCAATAAAGCCATTTAAAAAATCCACAGAAACATTAAAATCAGTGGAGAAATACAAAAAACTTTTGCACTAAGATCAGGAACAAACCAGGATACCTGCTTTCATCACTGGTCTCAATGCGCTTTTGGAAGTCCTAGACAGAATGATAAAGCAAGAAAAAAAAAAAATGCATCCAAACTGGAAAGGAAGAAGTAAAATTATCTCTGTTCACAGATGAAACAATAAGTAGAAAACCCTAAAGACTGTGCACATGCATACACACACAACACCCCAAAATATTGGAACTAGTAAATTCCACAAAGTTGCAGGATACCAAATCAACATGAAACAATTTCAGCTGGGTGCGGCGGCATTAACCTGTAGCCCAAGCTGCTTTGCAGGCTGAGTCAGGAGGATTGCTTGAGCCCAGGAGTTCAAGGCTGTAGCATACTATGATTGCTCCTGTGAACAGCCACTGTACTCCAGACTGGGCAAGAGTGAGACCCCATCCCTTAAAGAAAAATCATTCTCATTTATACACACTAACAATATATAATCTGAGAAGGAAATTAAGAAATACCATGAACAATAGTAAAGGCGGCAGAAGACCTGTACACTGAAAACTATAAAATGTTGCTGAAAGAAATTAAAGAAGATATAAATGAACAGAAAGACATATTTAGGATTTAAATTTAATATTAAGATATCAATACTACTTAAGATGGTCTATAAATTCAATGCAACTCCTATCAAAATACCAACAACCTTTTTTCTGGAGACAGAGTGTTGCTCTATCTCCTAGGCTGGAGTGCAGTGGAATGATCTCAGCTCACTGCAACCTCTGCCTCCCGGGTTCAAGTGATTCTTCTGCCTCAGCCTCCCGAGTAGCTGGGACTACAGGCACACGCCATCATGCCCAGCTAATTTTTGTATTTTTAGTAGAGATGAGGTTTTACCACATTTGCCAGAGTGGTCTCAAACGCCTGATCTCAGGTGATCCACCTGCCTTGGCCTGCCAAAGTGCTGGGATTACAGGTGTGAGCCACCACATCTGGCACCAATGAATTAAAAAAAAAAAAAAAAAAGAAATGCCCATCCTAAAATTCATAGGGAATCTCTAGGAACCCCAAATAGCCAAAACGATTGAGAAAGAAGAACAAGCCAGGTGTGGTGGCACACGCCTGTAATCCCAGCACTTTAGCAGGCTGAGGCAGGCAGATCACTTGAGATCAGGAGTTTGAGACCAGCCTGGCCAACATGGTGAAACTCTGTCTCTACTAAAAGTATTTTTTAAAATTATGGTGGCTCATGCCTGTAAATCCCAGCACTTTGGGTGGCCGAGGTGGGCAGATCACTGGAGTTTGAGACTAGCCTGACCAATGTGTGTGGGTAGCACCCCCCATGGAAGGAAAACTGTCCAGACCCCAGGCACAATTAGTGCCTGAAGAATACCTTAGTTTATAGTGTTATTACTTAGTTATTTCCTTTATATAATCCTTTATATATACTCATATATTATAGAATTCATGCCTGAAGTGTAACTTACTGCTTACATATATCTAGCTTAATCATACTTAATACTTATATCTAACATACTTAGTCCCATATAATCTATATAATCAATAGGTATTGTAGTAAGAGCTGTACTGACACACTT